ACCAGGCTTGCCTTGAACTCACAGAGATCTGCCTGCATCTGCCTCCCAAGTTCTGGGATTAAAGGTGTGTGCCACCACACCCAGTAGTTGTGCATGTCTTTAATCCCAGAATTTGGGAGGCAGGAAAATCTCTGTGAGATCAAGGCCAGCCTGGTCTACATTGGGAGTTCCAGACCTGCTGGGGCTATAGGAAGACCCTGTCTAAATAGAATAAATAAATAAATAAGGAAGAAAAGAAAGTTTACAAACTTATATAAACTTTAAATTTGGCTGGATGTGGTTGCACATGCTTATAATCCTAGCATTTGGGAGGCAGAGGCAGGAAGACTGGGAGTTCAAGGTCATACCTGGCTACATAGCAATATCAAGGCCAGCCGTTCTCTACAGACAAAGTAACAGGGTTGGAGAGATATCTCAGGGGTTAAGAGTGCTTGCTTCCCTTTTAGAGAATCAAGATTTTGGTTCCCAGCCTCATGTTGGGCAGTTCACAACTTCCTGTAACTCTAGCTCCAGGAGATCCAACACCCTCTTCTGGCTTCCATACAAAGACACAAGCACACATAATGTAAAACAAAATACATTTTTCTTTAGAAAAAGAAATTTTAAATATGAACGTACACTAATGCCTGACAAAGTTCCAATGAATACAATTGGGTTTTTTGCTATATTTTATTTATTTTTATTTTATATGTGTGAGTGTTTTACCTACATGTAAGTGCACCATGTGTTTGCAGTGACTGTGGAGGCCAGAAGAGGGTGTCAGATCCCCTGGAATCAAACAGTTCTTAGCTGCCATGTAGGTGCTAGGAATTGTACCTGGATCCTCTGCAAGAGCAGTCAGTGCTCTTAACCAATGAGTCACCACTCCAGGCCTTAATGAATATAATTCTTAATGTGTAAAGAATTTTTTTTAGAAGAAACATACTAATAATGCTTGACTCATGAAATATCCAACAAAATATTTAAAAATTGTGTATTGAAGCCGGGCATGGTGGTGCATGCCTTTAATCCCAGCACTCAGGAGGCAGAGGCAGGCAGATCTCTGTGAGTTCAAGGCCAGCCTGGTCTACATAGGGAGTTCCAGGACAGCTGGGGCTACAGGGAGACCCTGTCTCAAAAAGACCAAAAAAAAAAAAAATGTGTATTGAGGATCTATCATACAACAGGTGTAACAAGGACTAGAACAAACGGTTCTTACCCATACAGAGTACTAAAGAGAGAAGGTTGCCATAAACAAGGAACTAATCAAACAAATTACAAAAAAGAACACGTCAAGAATGTATCAGGAGGGGCTGGAGCCATGGCTCAGCAGTTAAGAGCACTGGCTACTCTTCCTGAGGACCTGTGTTCAGTTCCTGGCACCCACACAACAAGAAACAACCATCTGTAACTCCAGTTCCAGTGGATCCAAAACCCTCTCTGTCCTCTACAGGCAATGCACACACAGGTGCAGTTACATCCATGCAGGCAAAACACTCATACCCATAAAAATAAATAAATTTTAAAAAAGAACTTACAAGTGATAAGTGAAAAAAGAAAAAACAGGAGTACTGTAAGGACAGTAAGGGGAGAGATGGTAGAATGGTAGCGGAAATTTTACGTTGGAAGGTGATTGAAGGGACTGCGGAAAGTTGGCAAGCTAAGGAAAGCACTCACCATGCAAAGAAACAGGACTAAGGCCCTGGGGTGGAAACGGGTCTGGAGGTCCCAGAAATAACAAGAATCTTAATCTCCATGGATTGCAGCACTGATGGAGGTGAGGGAAGAGGAGTAGAGTGTGAGGAGAGAAGGACAGCAGAGCAAACCCACCAGGCAGACCTGTCAGCCAGTGGAAGTGCTGAAAGGAGGAGCCAGGACCGCACAGCAGGAGGGGCATGTAATAAAACCTGGGGCTGGAGAGAAGGCTCAGTAGAGAGCTAGCTGCCCCCCCCCCCCCCCCCCCCCCGCATGAGGATCTGAGGTTAGAGCCTCACACTTGTGGGAATGCCAAGTATGGCAGTGTGTGCTGGGGAAGTGGAGACAAGAGGATCCCTGGGACCTGCTGTCCTGTGAGTTCCTGGTTCAGTGAGAGACTCTGTCTCAAAAAGTAAGGTGGAGCATGACTGAGAAAAATACCTGATGTTGATCACTGACCTCCACATGCACACACATGCATGCATATCCCCACACACATGCAAACATATACACACACATAACACACCCAGAGAGACACACACACAAAATATCATCCTGGAGCTGGGGCTAAAACTCAAGACTACAAAGCGCTTGCCATGCAAGTATGAGGATCTGAGTTTGATGCCCAGAATCCACATAAAAAGCTGAGCATGGTGGCATACATCTGCAATCCCAGCACTGGGGACGTGGACACAGGAGAACCCCTGGGCTTTGCTGGTCAGATAGCCTAGCCTAATTGAGCGCCAGGTCCCAGTGAGAGATCCTGGACTGAAAAACAAGGTGAATGGCTATCCTGAGAAATAACACCCAATATTAATTTTGACCTTCACATGTGTGCTCTCACACGTGTACACACATATACACAAATCATTCTGAAAAAGAAAGCACAATCCACTACAGAGATGTCTGCTTCTGCCCATGGTGCACTGATCAATACTGGACCTGTCCTCTATTGAAAAGCAAGATGAAATGCCTGCAACAGTATTTCTTGGAAGGAGTCAGTGAAGAACTGTGATCCCTCAGAGAAGGTGAACCCCGAAAGAGCTTTCTGGACCATAGTGCACAGAGTAGAATTTGTGGCTTCAGGAATTGGAAGAGACACATCAGAGGTTAGAGAGTTTGAAGAGGCAGAAATTTGGGGGCAGAGTATAGCAGGGAAGAGAGATATGTCAAAACTCCAGGAATTTATCACAGGTTACCATGAGACTGATAGCGATTCATAATAGGGGCTGACTCCATGAGGTGTAACACAGAGGTACTAGGAGTTATAAACTTAACAATTCTCAGAACTAAAGAGAAAACCATAAAAGCCCAAACTTCTAGCTAGTTGGTGATGTTTGCTTTAATCCCAGAACTCGGGAGCCAGAGGCAGACAGATCTCTTGTGAGTTCAAGGCCAGCCTGCTATACAAAGTAAGTTCCAGGCCAGCTGGGGCTACAGGGAGACCCTGTCTCAAAAAGACAAAAAAAAGACAAAAAAAAAAAAAGTATACAGGATGTAATTTAATGGGTCGTGAAATACAGGATTAAAATAAAGATTATTGAACTTGAAGATATACCAATTAAAAAAAAACACAAAATAAAACAAACAATTTAAAATGCTGAAAGAGAGGCTGGAAGGATGACTCAGCAGTTAAGAGCACTGGCTGCTCTTACAGAGGATCTGGTTTGGCTCCCAGCACCCACATGGCAGCTAACAACTGTCTGTAACTCCAGTTCAAGGGGATCTGACACCCTCTTTTGACCTCTGAGGGCACTGCACAACACAGACGCACTTACATACATGCAGGCAATATACTCACACACATAAAATAAAAATAATAAATAAAATAGTAAAATACTGGGGGCTGGAGAAATGGCTCAGAGGTTAAGAATACTGACTCTTCTTGCAGAAGACCCAAGTTCGAATCCCAGCACCCACACAGCAGCTAACAACTGTTTGTAACTATAGTTCCAGGGGATCCGACAGTCTCTTCTGACCTCCTCAGGCACTGTACAACACGAGTGCACTTACCTACATGCAGGCAATACACGCATA